TTGCTAGGGACTTGCCCGGCACTTGCTCTCTACCTCTATTTGTTATCTTACTTCTATCATTGACAGTCCCTCTAGGTTGTGGGCTGCTTGCCTGTGTTCCTGAGAAGCATCTACGGTACCAGTCTATAGAGTGTGTTTTCTTTAGTGAATTACCGGTATGTTTACCGGTAATAAACTTGCACTGTTTTATGTATATGTTTGATTACATACAGCCTTGTGACAGTTTTCCTGCATGTCATAAGCATTTGAATATAAATTAAAATGTTAAAATCAAATCTGATATTGTTTTACCTTTTATTTGGTGTGTGGAAGGTGTGCGGAAGAGGGGGTAGTCTTATACGGCGAGTATATAACAAATTCTGTATTTTGAGTGGAAATGTTAGGGGGTCGTCTTATACGCCCAGTCGTCTTATACGCCGGCAAATACGGTACCCAGGGTCCCCCCACTAGAAGGTAGAGAAACTAGGATACAAACCCAGAGTGTCTGATTACAGATTCCTCTTACCTAGTAGGCTATATTCTTTCCTTTGTTTTTATAAACACTTTATTTTCATTTATTATCTTTAGAGAGGGAGGAAGGGAGAGATAGAAACATCGATATGAGAGAGATATATCAATTGGTTGCCTCCCATACACACAGCTTGGGATCGAACCCACAACCTAGATATGTGCTCTGACTGAGAATTGAACCTATGACTGGTGCATGGAATGAACCTCCAACTAACTGAGCCATATGGGCTAAGGCTAAACATACTATGTTTGAAACAAAAATAAGGTCATGCTGTACATTGTGTGTGGTCCTTGGTATTTTTGCTCAGTCTTTAAATTTGAAGGAATTCTAAAACTGCATTGTATTTTATCCTAAAATATATTTACTAACCATTGCTATTTTTCTTTTCAAAGAAAATAATTATTCAGAATCAAAGAATTCAAGAGTTGCAAGATTTAGTTAATCAAAAAGAGGATACTATTAACTTCCAGAACCTAAAATTTCATGTGGAAAACACATTTAAAAGCAGTGTAAGAATTTTACTTTATTCTTCTGCATTATAGATTACATTAAAAAGTATGTTTTGGTTGAGACTAAAATAATTTAAAATAGCTTAAATAAGCTAATTTTCCAAGAATGTTTAATTGTTTATTCTGGTTTTGAAATCAATTTACTATTGTGAAAATCTTAATTTTTTGAGTACTTCAAAGAGGGCATTTGGCCTCTTTGCTCTAGATCAGTGATGGCGAACCTATGACATGCATGTCAGAGGTGACACGCGAACTCATTTTTTTGGTTGATTTTTCTTTGTTAAATGGCATTTAAATATATAAAATAAATATCAAAAATATAAATCTTTGTTTTACTATGGTTGCAAATATCAGAAAATTTCTATATGTGACACGGCACCAGAGTTAAGTTAGGGTTTTTCAAAATGCTGACACGCCGAGCTCAAAAGGTTCGCCATCACTGCTCTAGATCCTGTTATCTATTAACTTGTAACAGTGCTAAATTGCTCACATAAATACATAAATAAACAAGTGTGAAGTAACCTGGCTGTGCTCATTAACTGTTGATCTAGAGCAGTGATGGCGAATCTTTTGAGCTCGGCGTGTCAGCATTTTGAAAAACCCAACTTAATTCTGGTGCCGTGTCACATATAGAAATTTTTTGATATTTGCAACCATAGTAAAACAAAGATTTATATTTTTGATATTTATTTTATACATTTAAATGCCATTTAACAAAGAAAAATCAACCAAAAAAATGAGTTCGCGTGTCACCTCTGACACGCGTGTCACCGCTGACACACGTGTCACCTCTGACATGTGTGTCACCTCTGACACGTGTGTCATAGGTTTGCCATCACTGCTCTAGATATTGGAAGAGGACACTCCTTCAAATAACTGAGCTGTGGAGCTTAGATTTTTTTTTTGGGGGCGGGGAATGATGATTGAATAATTTGAAGGGGAAAAATAATCAGGCCATTGTGATAAGTCTCAGAGTGGGGGAAGGAGACAACTGACCCTGTCATGTAGTCAAAACTCTCTAGCTCTGTCAGAGCTGTGATCATCTATCCTAGGGTTTTGTCATTTGTCAGTGATGCCAAGATGCTAATTGTGAGAAAGTATGGAGGTTGTTCTTCATGATATTCTTTGTTTAAGGATAGCTCAAAAATGTTGCTATGTGAGAGGGAAGCATCCATTGTCCTCCCCCTGCATGCCTCCTACTAGGGATTGAGCCTGCAACCCAGGCATGTTCCCTTGACTGGACCCGAACCCAAGACCCTTCAGTGCACAGGCTGATACTCTATCCACTGAGTCAAACCCCTAGGGCAGTGGTCGGCAAACTAATTAATCAACAGAGCCAAATATCAACAGTACAACGATTGAAATTTCATTTGAGAGCCAAATTTTTTAAAATTACACTATATAGGTAGGTACATTGTTATTAACTTAATTAGGGGACTCCTAAGGCTTAGGAAGAGCCACACTCAAGGGGCCAAAAAGTCGCATGTGGCTCATGAGCCGCAGTTTGCCAACCACGGCCCTAGGGCTATTTGCTGATTTTATAATGTAAACAAGGTCCCAGTGCACGAATTTGTGCGCCTTGAACTGTGGTCCGCGAGCCTGTGAAAGGCACAGGGGCGGGGCTTGGCCCATCCTCTCTGCCCCCGTCCGGCCCCTCCCACCGTGGTCCCTGGTCCTCTGCTCGCAGCCCCGCTCCTGCTGCCTCTGCTCCCACGCATTGATAGCGCCAACCCTGCTTGCACCTGCTGACAGCGCAGAGTGATTGGGGCCGGCACCACAGTGGGTGCGAGCAGGGCTGGCCCATTAGTGGGTGCAAGTGGTGGTTGCTACCCTGATCACCCCTCAGGAGCAGGGGGAGGTGGAGAAGCCCTCGGGGCGATCAGGGTGCACCGAGTGATCCAGACCGAGTGATCGGGACTGGGGCCGGTCACTGGCAGCAGGTGCGAGTGGTGGCTCCAGCCCCAGCTCCAGGGCCGGTTGCAGGTGCGAGTGGGGCTGGTGCCAGCAGTGGGTGAGAGTGGGGCTGGCGCTGGCAGCAAGTACAAGTGCCGGGCGGGACCATGGCCTGTGGGAGCAAAGGATTTTCAGTAACCACCAGAGGCTCACTGCGATGACAGCGAGCCTTGGTCTGGCACCCCCGCTTACTTGCGCCACCATCCCACTGTGGCTGACACCTGCCATGTTCTGCGCACGCCCCCTGGTGACCAGTGCACATCATACTGACTGGTTGTTTGGTTGTCTTGGTTGTTCCGCTGTTAGGTGTATTTGCATATTAGCCTTCTATTATATAGGATGAAATTTTTTCTCCATAAAGTTTTTTTCAAAACTGATTGCTACCAGTATATAGGGATTTAAGTAATTTGTACATTAAAAAAAAAAATCCTTGCTTTTACCATACCTTTGATTACTATAGACTTGCACTTAACTGCTGAGTTTTACCCTTCCTCTTTTTGGATAACCTGTTTTGTACCTCCTTCCTGCTAGCCTTTTAGGGAGGCATAGTATTTGCCTTAAAAAAATAAAAATCTCAAAGATTTTTATCATTTAGATAAACTAACAACTCAAATTTAAAGTCTGTATTTCTTTGACTATACAAGGCTAGAGACTAAGGTCAAAATTTTTTCTGGGAGTTCTAAAAGTGAGACAATACTGCTTATCTTTGAGCAGCTTTGGTTACAAAACATAACTATTAGATTTCTAGAGTGGGGCCTGAAGATTTTAAGTAAAAGTATAAAGAAACAATTTTATCGTAGTGTTTTCGTATTTTTCTTTTCAAACCACATTAAAAATGTGACTAAGGGGTAGGTGTTTTAGGGTTCTATAGTTATCCCAAAACAAGTCTATAATGTACCCGATCACCTTAGAAAATCTAAAGATGAATTAGTTTTTACATGTCAGGTGAAACTACATGCTTAACTGATTTTAAGACAACATTTTCTTGTCCTTAGTGAGTGTACACATTATTTAATATTACTCATTTGCAGAGTCCTCAGTTATCTTAGGGTGAGATATAAGAAATAACTTAGAAAAGTGTTTCAACAAATTTGAAAATAAAACTTTTATGATGCACTATCAAACAGTTTATATAGTTTTTACATTTATTGTAGCTTTCTATATGTGAACTAATCTGAATTTATTTTATTTTAGGACAAGGCTGGTACATCTGTAATAATAAACAATAAATTGGCTTATAATGAACCAGTTGAAATGCATAAGGACAACAAAAGTAAAACTTATTCAGGAATAAAAAGATTAAACGAAAATGAATTTCAGCAAGATGAGCCACCAGCTAAGAAAGGTACTGCTTCATTTGCCAACAAGAGGCCTTTAAGAAAGCCAATTCCTAAACCAGTAAGCAGAACAGATGCAAATGGAGGAAATTTACTTGTCTAGGGAAAAAACCCTGAAGAAATCTAAATGTCACTAATATTTATGCTAACATGTTATGAACCTGAGGATGGGTGTATTTAAAGCTCTTTTATTATAATAAATACATTTTTAGATATTGTGCTTTTATCACTTTTGCATGCCTGTAATTCTTTTACTTCTCTGCTTATAATAGTTAAAACATATCACTTTCATTTTCATAATGATAGTACCTTTTTTTCACCCAAATATTTCCACATTGCTTTCTACCTTTGCATTTTTTTATTCATTTGGAGAAAAGGAAATCTGACAGGAAGACTTTGAACTAAATACTACTAAAGACAAATGTGCTCGAGAATGAATTCTGTTACTATAGAATTTATTTAAAAAAAAATGTGGGTACATGCTTACTCTCTACCTGTATATGTGGAAGAACATACCAGCATTTACATTCTTTCTAAACTGTTCATTATTTCTTTTGGGAAACTTTTGTAGTATGATACAGGGGGGTAGGGCTTTCTCAGAGAAAGTGCATTAGCTTTAGAAACCTGGCTAGCTGCTTCACCTTGAGAAAAATGGGTGAGTTAAGTCTTAACTTTGGACATTAGTTAAATAAAACATACAGTACTTGCCTCCTGAGGTTGTCAAGGATGAAAACAGGTGGGTAATACACCAACATACTAAACACCTCACAGAACCTCAGTAAAATGAATGTTTTCAAAAGTAGGTGCCTTAAGGATAATACAGCATTAGGTAAATGTTTTGTAGGATATATTATGCTTGTGTGAGCTAATAGATTGAGACAAATATGCATATGCCTTCTGTCATCCATTGAAGGAGGTGTGCTTTGCTACTGGGAGGATAACCTTGCTGTGATTTCCATTGCATTCTTCCTCTCTTTCATTCATCTTTGTCAGTGTCATAGACTAGTTGAGAACGTAGATAACTAGGAATTGGCCAGGAGCCAGTGTTATACACAGATGATCAGTCCTAGAGATAACCCATTCATGAAGAAGATTATTTAAGAACTATAGCTAAATAATTTGGATGTGAGTAGATTTGAGTAAGTTTAGCTAACATAACAAATTTTTATTACTTCTTAAAATCACAACCACTTTGGCTATTTCTCCATTACTTATGTTATTAAAAAGTATAAAAAAGGAGACATATGTAATACTCTTTGTAACACTTTAAGCAATAAAACAATAAAAAAAAAAGAGCCAAACAGCAAATAGTTTAGGCCACATACTAAAAAAAAAAAAAAAAGTATAGGGATTACATAAGGGATCACATAAAAATTATAGATATAACCACCCTCTTTCTTCTCCACCTGCTACTAAAAGATATCCAGAACAAAATATGTGACTCTTATAACTACTAGGATAGAAGGAGGTTGATAGTTCCATAGGAAGCATGTTTTCTGTTCTTAAAAGGAAATGAAGAGAAGATTTGACTTTGGGTGATGTGCAATAACATAGAAACCCACACCTGAAACTTGTATGTTCATGTTGACAAATGTCACCCCAATTAATTTAAGAAATAGTGTTTGTTTGTTTTTTTAAAGGGAATACAAAGCCTTTTCTCTATGAAAGTGTATTTATTTTTTGAGATCACTGTATCCATACTTGGGGGAAACTGGTAACCAAACAGTCCAAAAAATAATTTTCAGATAGTGGTAAAGGAGACAAACCAGAGATATGATACAGTCTATTTAGGATTTTTCAATCAAAACTAACTTTTTACAACGAAAAGAAGTAATCCGTGTGAATATAGGTTGAATGTAGTGTAAATATTGAATTAAAGTGTTAACTGTATTCCTTTCTTTTTGTTTACTTTTTAAAAGTAAACTAGATACTGTAGAGTTTTTCCTATCTTTCTTGCTGGATTGATTTTAATTTCTACCTCTCAAGGCTGTCCTGAATATGTTCTATAAATCTTTTGACATACTAGTAAAACTTTTTAAATTTTTTGAAAAAATAGTTCAAATATCTAAAAAAAATCAGATAAAAATATTTTGGTTTGATTTACCTTGTATTTTGTATTATATTTTGGTTCTTTTTTAATTAAATTTTTTTCCCATTTTAGTTGACATATAATTATTATATTAATTTCAGGTGTACAACATAATGGTTGGACATTTATATAACTTAGGAATTGATCACACTATGTATCCTGGTTCTTGAAATTTAGTGAAATTATAGGAACAGTAACAGGAGCTTTCTGCATTCACTTCAGGGTGTAGGGACTACATGTATATAGTATGCATGACTCAAATCTCTTCCCTCAGGATAGTCAGGATGTACTTGTGAGCTCGGGATTCCTGTTTTTGTCATTTTAAAGTTGCTTAGATCCCATCTCCATTCCTAATAAGAGTTCAGACATTTTTATATCTTGTCTTTTTAAAGGGTAAGAGGATTTTTTTGAAAAACATGTCTATTATGAGAAAAAAAAACATCCAGAACTCGTAACATCATCATTTGGTTTTCTCAATTAGTTATTTCCATTGATGAATTCATAGGAATGAAAATATTATCAAATAGAGAATTAGGTTGCATGGAAAGTAGAACAAGAGTGAACCAGTGGAGAAGACCAGGTTATTTCACTTTGGGATGACTTGCCACAGCTTTATAAGATGCTGGGGACCTAATGAAAAATAATACATTGGTTCAAGATTATTATTAAAAATCTATTAGATTTAGTGGGCAGCTTTGTTGTAAAAGTAAATAAGGGCAAATCTTGAAGATTTCAGAGTAGCTGGAATTCTTAGAATAAACCGAGAATCCAAGGAAGTGAGGCTATACAACAGGGGTAATTCCATGTATCTGCTGTTCTGAGGCAGGAGACAGCCATGTAAATTATTGATAATAAAATTTTGTCCAATGAATTTTTTTTAAAAAAATACATTTTATTGATTTTTTTACAGAGAGGAAGGGAGAGAGAGAGTTAGAAACATCGATGAGAGAGAAACATCGATCAGCTGCCTCCTGCACACCTCCCACTGGGGATGTGCCCGCAACCAAGGTACATGCCCTTGACCGGAATTGAACCCGGGACCCCTCAGTCCACAGGCCGATGCTCTACCCACTGAGCCAAACCGGTTATGGCTGTCCAATAAACTTTTACAATCAGCCTGTATTTAAGAAAAGAGATCTTGGGATCCCATAAATGGGATCACACAATTACAGCTACCCAAAAGCATTTAGGCAGTTGGTGAAGGAAAAGAATATGGGTTGTATTTGTAAAAAAACACCAGCCAGGGCTAAAATATACTTTTTTTATTCATTGCACTGAAAGTAATAGGTTTTTTAATGCGTAGGATCTCAAGCCAACCCCCCACCCCCAAACTGTCTTGCTTTTTTGGAATAGTATTGCTTGTATTTCATATTATATCTGAGACCTTTAAGCCTGAGGAATATGAATCTTACATGCTTAGTGAGGACATTAAATAAAAACAGGTGAAATCAACAGTGAATAAAGGTCAAAAGGACATATGTAGTTGATTATATCACAGCAATGTGTAGAAAGTTTAAACATCAAACCATGAAGTCAAACAGAAAAGTATAAAGTAAAATTGGAACCACAGAGTCAGATTCTTACATGTTTTGAAGTAATTTCCTAGGATTTGAGATAACCACCAGACCCTGATTATAGTAATGGAAGTTGTATGAAAACATACAAAGATAAATTTGTGGCCCTGGCTGGGTGGATCAGTTGGTGGAGCAATTTCCCATACACCAAAAGGTTGCAGGTCTGATTACCCGTGAGGGCACATGCGTAGGTTGCAGATTTGATCCTCAGTTGGGGCATGTATGGGAGGAAACCTATCGATGTTTTTATTTCACATCAATCTCTCTCTCTCTCTCTCTCTCTCTCTCTCTCTCTCTCTCTTTCTCTCTCTTTCTCGCTTTCCCTCCCTTCCTCCTTCTCTCTCTAAAAATCAATGAAAATGGCCTCGGGTGAGGATTAAAATAAATGAAGGAATAAATAAATATTGGATATATATAAGTTTATGTATCTAGAGGACTGAGGATTATGTTTCAAGATTTAATCTTACAATCTATGAGAAAAACTTGAATGTAATTTTTACTTGACAGTTGTATGAATGAGGTGAATTAACTTGTCAAAATGAACAGTAACTTTTAGCCCTAACCGGTTTGGTTTGGCTTAGTGGATAGAGCGTCGGCCTGTGGACTGAAGGGTCCCAGGTTCGATTCCAGTCAAGGGCACATGCCCGGTTGTGGGTTTGATCCCCAGTAGGGGATGTGCAAGAGGCAACCGATCAGTGATTCTCTCTCATCATTTATGTTATCTCTCTCTCCCTCTTCTTTCCTCTCTGAAATTAATAAAAAATATATTAAAAAAAGAAAATATTTGTAGTGGGAAATTTAAATAATACTGGATGTTATAAAATATGCTAACTCCATTATCTTACAGAACTGTAGTTTTTACATAAAGGGGCTTAGTTTTTTCATTCAGTAGTTTGTGTTTTTCATTAAAAGTTTGCTTTCACGTTTTCTATGTTTGAATATTGGCTTATCTGTTTACTTTTTAGTTTAAGGTTTGCCAGATTAATAGCAATTTTCCTATTTTTAAAGGACCTGTACACATTAGTCCAACTGTCACTGAAGACCAAAAGAAAAGTGAAGAAATGCAAGAGAGCATTTCAGAAAATGAGGAAAACATTCAAGTTGTACAAGAAAATAATGATAATGAAGAGCTAAAAGCAAGATTACTCACTGTTGAGAATGAACTTAAAAATGAAAAGGAAGACAAAGCAGAATTAAGTAAACAGATTGTTGCTTTGCAGCAGGAGCTTTCTTTTTCTAAGAAGGAGAGCTTTTCTTTAAGTATAGATGTCCAACAAATTCAGTCAACTTATGACAATGCAATTTCTGAATTACAGATGCAGAGAGGTATAAATCAAGAACAGAAGGAAAAGATCATGAAGTTGTCAGAGGAGATAGAAGTCGCTAGAAGAACCATCACTCATAATGTTTCACAAATAAAATTAATGCAAGCAAAAATAGATGAACTACGAACCCTTGATTCATTTTCTCAGATCTCAAACATAGATTTACTCAATCTCCAGGATCTCTCACATGGTTATCAGGAAGATGATTTGCCAAATACAAAGTTACACCCTTTGGATAATGATTATTTGGTAAGTAAGCAGGTTAAACCTAATAGGGAGAGTTCTTTCCACTCTAGTATTGATGCCATTTGGGAAGAATGTAAGGAGATTGTAAAGACCTCCTCCAAAAAAAGTCATCAGATCCAGGAATTGGAACAACAAATTGAAAAATTACAAGCAGAATTAAAATGCTATGAGGATGATAACAAGAGACTAAAAACAGAAAATAAAAATCAAGATGACCTACTAAAAGGAAAAGAAAGTCTTATACAGCAGCTGAAGGAAGAATTGCAAGAAACAAAAGTTGGTCTCAGTGTTCAAGTACAGCAAGTAGTTGAGGGAAAAAAAGCACTTTCAGAACTCACACAAGAGGTTGCCTGCTATAAAGTGAAAATAAATGAACTTGAAGCCATGTTAGGAACTCAGAAAGTTGAATGTAGTCATTCAACCAAGTTAGAACAAGAAATTTTGGAAAAAGCATCTATCATCTTGGAACTAGAAAAAAATCTAAAGGAATTTCAAGCAGATCATCAGGATTGTATCAAAAACATCAAAGATTTAAATGAAAGGGAAGTCAAGTTGAAAGAAGAAATCACACGGTTAACAAATAATTGGGAAGATGCAAAGCATTCCCTTCAATTAAAGGAAGAAGAAAAAGAAACCAACTGGCAAGAGATAGAAAAGTAAGCTAAATGTTATTCAGATATTTATAATATGCAAAGCATTCATTGTATTGATTTTGTTATGTAGCTTTTAAGTAATTTAGGTTGGCATAACTTAATCTGGTGCAGTATAGCATTTGAGATGAGTGAAGACTTGGACTTGGTTTATATAAATCTTTGGAGCCAAGATATGTGCAAAGATCTTTTTATAGAATCTGAAATTTTCTCTAAAGGACTCATTCATGGTTTGGACATTCTAAATTTGTGAAAAGATGTAATTTTATAGATTGTTACTGTCTCACAAGTATGATACAAAGTGATTAATGGTGTGTCACTATAGGAAAGTGGTTTGTGTTTTATAGATTGAAAGGGGAGCTCTCTGCAAGCTCTGCCCTTATCCAAAATCTGAAAGCAGATCTTCAGAGGAAGGAAGAAGATAATGCTGAGCTGAAAGAGAAACTGACTGATGCCAAAAAACAGATTAAGCAAGTACAGAAAGAGGTAGGCTCTTTGAAAGCTGTGCATTCAATTTAAATGGTAAAGATGGTTTTCCTTATATATCAATAAACCTTGGAAATGTGAGCCAATAATTTCTCCCTGGAATGTCTTTGTTGACTTTTCCATGATAATGATTTTGCTGTTGCATGCCAGATGCTATGTTGATTCTTTTTTGAGAACACTTACAAGTGTTTGAAATTCTTAAAATGTAAGAAGAAAATTATTTCTTCATACGCATTCTCCTTTAGAGTATTAGGAAATATCCTGATAATTTGAAGCCATATCTTATACTATGTTAGAATCTAATTTGTTAATGTTTTTAAAATTTATCTTTATCGCCCTAACCGGTTTGGCTCAGTGGATAAAGCATCGGCCTGCGGACTCAAGGGTCCCAAGTTTGATTCTGGTCAAGGGCATGTACCTTGGTTGCGGGCAATACTCTGTGGGGAGTGTGCAGGAGGCAGATGATCGATGTTTCTCTCTCTCACTCTCCTGTTCCGGTCAAGGGCGTGTACCTGGGTTGCGGGCACATCCCCAGTAGGAGATGTGCAGGAGGCAGCTGATTGATGTCTCTCTCGCATCGATGTTTCTGGCTCTCTATCTCTCTCCCTTCCTCTCTGTAAAAAAATCAATAAAATATATTTTTTAAAGAAATTTATCTTTATTGTTGAAAGTATTACAGATAATTCCCCCTTTCCCCCCAGTGGCCCCTTTAATGAGTTTTTAAGGACATGAATCTTTGAATCAGTGGCCATTAATTTTAAACAAAAAGCATTTTTTAAAAAATTTGTTTTATAATCATTACTTTGTAGGTATCTCTAATGCGTGATGAGGAAAAATTACTGAGGATTAAAATGAATGAACTGGAGAAAAAGAAAAACCAGTGTTCTCAGGAAATGGATATGAAACAGCGAACCATTCAGCAACTCAAGGTATCAGTTTTTTAAAAGGGTGGTTTAAGTAGAGTCCACGTATTTTAGTGTCTAAAAAAATCAGTTTTTTATACCAAATTCTCTTTTAGCCTTTTCTGTAATTGAAAAATTGGTTAAAATCAAATAAGGTCATAGTAATTTGCTTCTAATAACTAGAGTATGGGAAGGAAAAAATAGTAATTTTACAATAAGGAAACCTGGCAGACAACACCTTAACTTTAATCAAGTGTTTAAGAATATAATCACCAGTGGTAAGTCATATTGGTAACATGTATTTCCTGATTTGATGTGACCAAAAGGGCACATCTTTTCTGTGGTATTCTTCCTCCAAATCCTTTAACTTAGTCTAATTGTGAGAAGACATCAGACAAGCCCAAACTGAGGATGTTCTACTAAATACCCAACCAGTAAAAAGTGGCAAAGTCATTAAAGTATTATTGAGGCACTTATCACAGATGGGATACTAGCGAGACATGATGACTAAATGTGGCATTGTATCATGATTGGATTCTAGAACATTGTTGAAGAAACATGAAATCCAAATAAAGTCTTCAGTTTTGATAGTATTATACCAATGCTAATTTTTTTCCCCATACAAAAATAATTGTTTTCATTTTTGAGACTAAACTTCTCATTTGCTTGTGTCCAATGTTAGTTAATTTCTTGATTTTAAAATAATATACCATGGTAATGTTGAAATTAGGGGAAGCTAAATGGAGGTTATACAGGAAATTTCTGGCATCTTTGCAATTCTTTTATAAAATCTAAAGTTATTTCAAAACCAAAAGTGAAAAGAAAAAGCTCAAGACCTGTAAAAAAAAATGTTTTAAGAGGACACTTAAGCATTTATAAATGGTTTTATATATATATATAT